CTTTCCCTTGATGGGAATCGAACCCGGGACCCTTCAGTCTGTGCTGTAGCCACTGAGCCAAACCAGCGAGGGCAGTAATCACTTCCTGCTTCCACTCAGTCACTGTTGCTCAACCTGCTAAGAGCAGCGGGTTTAACAGAATGATGACGGGGTTGGGGAATTTCTGTCTCACTTACAGAAAGTGAGGGGGAAGGGGAAGACGGGGTCATCCCATGGTGCCAGGAAATGTGCAAATATGGCCTGATGGTTCCCAGTCATACACAAAAGGAGCTCATTCATCTCCTCCAACTGGCCACTAATGCTGTTTCCAATCAAAATTTCCTGTTTCCTCCTCACCACATTTGTCTGTTGTTTGCTTAGAGAAAACCCAGGTACAAAAGTGACATTGTATTCCCATTGTGTTTTTAGTTTCTGACAGCATTTGCACCTGGTGAGGAATGTTTTTAAAAATCATCCTTATAGTTTATAGTTTTCGCACCACCACTCACGTACATTGAAGGAAAAGTTATACCCTGATTGCCCGGTAGAGATCTCCGAAAGCCAGGCCTGGGTCAGTTCCTGCGACTGAAGTGATTACGCATGTACATGGTTTTCTTTAATATTTTGATGTTGTTTATTGTTATATATATATACTAGAGGCCCAGTGCATGAAAATTTGTGCACTGGGAGGGGGTACCTCAGCCTGGCCTGCCCCCTCTCATAGTCCGGGAGCCCTCAGGGGATGTCCTACTGACCACTTAGGCCTGCTCCCTCTGCGGGAGGCAACCGGGATGATCAGGGGAAGGTGCCGCCCCGATCACCCCGCTGTTGCTGCCACTGCCGGCCATGGCAGCTGCCAGGCCTGAGCCCTGGGCCTCACAGCCGCTGTGGCTTTGTCCGGATGGACGTCCGGAAGACGTCCGCCCTCATTAGCATATTACCTTTTATTAGTAATGATTTTTAAGGATAGAACCTATCCTGTTCATTTCTGTGTGTCTTAGTTCTCTATCCTACTATGGCATTTGAATGAAAGAAAGCACATTTTTAAGAACTGGTTATTTCCCTATTTGTAGGTCTTGGGGATGATACTGGTAATCCATGTGTTAGAATCAGTCTGAGGAGTATGAATTAATATGCATTAAGTGCTTAGGAGGGGCCTTGCACATACCATGCACTCAGTAAAAGTTAGCTGTTGATAAAATTGTGGAAAGGCATCTGGGAAGACTGCCCAGAGGAGGCAGCATTTGGGCGAAGCCTTGAAGGACGAATGATAGTTGGCCTTGAGAGGATGGGAAAGCATTTCAGGCCAGAGCAGTCACAGAGATAGATGTGTGGGAAGATGAGCACCCAGTTTACTTTGGCTGGGATACAGAGGAGTACGGGGAGCCACATGAAGAGCCTTGACAGCCGCGTGGAGGTGTTTAGACTTGATTTTCTGAGTAGTGGAGTTCCAGGAAGTTTGTTAGAGACAAGATCAAAACCGTAACTTAGGAAATTGGATGAGCCAGGGTTGGATGGATCCTCAGAGAGGAGAGAATTGGAGACCCAGAGTTTTAGTTCGGAGACAAGAGTAAAAGTAATGGCCTGGATCAGGGGGGTGAAATTAGAGAGGGTACTCCCAAGCTGACTTGGATGTAGACATTAGTTCATTTCTTATTAAGTAAAATGTTTAGAAATGTTTTTTTCTTTATTTTTTTAAATGTTTTTATTGATTTTTTGAGAGAGGAAGGGAGAGGGATAGGGAGATAGAAACATTGATGAGAGAGAACATCATCAATCAGCTGTCTCCTGTGCGACCCCTCCTGGGGATGGAGCGGAATCGAACCAGGGACCTCTTACTTCCTGGTTGATGCTCAACCGCTGAGCCACACCAGCTGGGCTAGAAAATTTTACTTAAAAAAACTCAGTACTTATATTGGATTATTACCATTTTCTCTTGGTAGTAATTGGAAAGGGGTGGGAGTTTAAAAATCAGTGACAACTTTTTACAATGTTTACCTTTTTTTTTTTAATTCTGATTTCTGCAGAAACAGCAGGTTACGCTCTCATTTGGTAGGCAGCCTTAAGTTTTCACGCATGGACATTTTTCCATGTAAAATAGATATGGGCTTATCTATTTCCCATGGTTTCATCTCTAAAAGAAAGACAGGTTCTCCTCCATTTTAGGGTAAGGAAAAGGGAGGGCAAAATTACTGGATCTGCAGTTCTTGAACGCGCTGCCTTCTAGCCACTGTACGCCTTTCATTCGGTTTTCTGCTGGGGAGGCAAATCTTCACCTGTTCACATCACTTTTCTCTAACTAAGTGGCTCTAAGAAGAGCGACAATTTAGACACCATCTTTTTTCGATCGGTTTTTGGTCATTTGGGAGCATTTCATTTTCTCGGTGATGGAAAATGAATAAGAGAGTGACGAGGCAGCAATAGGCATTTATGAGTTCCCGAAATCACACGGGTCCTTAAGTGAGTAATATATGTGACAACACTTTGTAATTTGTCAAGCATTACTAGTATATAAATAAATGTCAAGATTTTTTAGAAAAACAGTACCTTATATCTTCCGTGCCTCTTGGCGTAAAGCCATTTTAATAAGAACATTGGGAACATGCTCTAAGCAAGTGGCAGTATTGGCTGGTGAACTGTGTCTAATTAAGGCTGGTGTGTGTGTGTGTGCACTGTGACCTGGTGTCGTGTCTGAACACAGCCAGAAAACGTGGCCATTGAGAGTTTCTAGTCACTCACCACTTGCTAAGTGAAATATTAAGAAAACAAGAACATGTACTTCTTAACAATCTATTGTTCCATGTCTAACAATCTGTTCAACAGAAATAAGCTCTAAATAGTCAGGAACTGAGTTATTTAAAATATTTTCTAAAAGCAAACAGCTCCTTTTTCTTTCCATGTCTATCTTTGAGCGGGGGCCATGGAGATAGAGAAAAAGTAGTTTCCTCGTTCTTTAAAATAAAATATTGAGCTACTGTAGGGTGTCCCAAAAAATGTATATACTTTGAATAAGTATAAAGGCAGTGTTTATTAAAATACATTTCATTTTCAAAACATAATAGGATCTACAGAAAAATATGTGTACATTTTCTTGGGACACCGTATATTTTTCCAGCAATATAGCTTTCTAGAAAATGTTTATTTTATGATTTCATTTAAAGCCTTCTTAATTTCTTTCTGAGACAAGATATGGGTATAAATACAAAAAAAAAATTGTTAAACCCAGATAATTCCCATTGGGCAATTCTATTTGTTCTTCTATGCAGTGCAAACATGGAGTTTCTTACGTTTATGTCACTTTATCCTTCACCCCCAATTCAGCCCTGAATCTGGTGTTTGATGCTGCTGCTTTTATAATAAAAGATTCATGGAAGTAAACTTTGCCATGTCGATTTTCCCACTCCACTGCTGTAGTTGTTGGTAGCTGGGTATTAACTAACTCATCAGAAGATAGCAGGTTGTTTTTTTCTTGGTTCTGCTCAATAAGGACATTCCTATCTGCTTTCATGAATTTGAGCGTTCATAATTACCTTTCCTTAAAAGCAAGGACCTCTTGAAATAATAGGACCCAAATGCTTTTTTTAAAAAAATATATTTTATTAATTTTTTTACAGAGAAGAAGGGAGAGGGATAGAGAGTTAGAAACATCGATGAGAGAGAAACATCGATCAGCTGCCTCCTGCACACCCCCTACTGGGGATGTGCCTGCAACCAAGGTATATGCCCTTGACCGAAATCGAACCTGGGACCCTTGAGTCTGCAGGCCGATGCTCTATCCACTGAGCCAAACCAGTTAGGGCTGGCCCCAAATGCTTTGAAACCATTAAGGTGCCAGGCAAAAATAAGGTATGTACTTCTCCAAGATGGGCTCCCATCTGGCTCAGAGGAGAGATGCTAAATGAATGTTTGAATTTGGAATAAATTAAGCAATGTTGAGACAATTATAAATGAGTGCATAGCCTTAGATACCTATGTAGTCTGATGGCCTGGTGAACGTGGGAAGAAGAACTGAAAGAATATTCTTGCCCTGGCCAGTGTGGCTCAGTAGGTTGGGCATTATCCAGTGTATCTCAGGAGGTTGCCTTTTTGATTCCTGGTCAAGGGTACATGCCTTGGTTTCGCATTCAATCCCCAGTGGCATGCATGCAGAGGGCAGCCTATGTTTTTTTTTAAAGAATATTGCCTGGCCGGTATAGCTCAGTGGTTGAGCTTCAACCCATGAACCAGGAAGTCAGGGTTCAGTGATTCTCATCATTGATGTTTTTCTCCCTCTCCCTTCCTCTCTCTGAAATCAATAAAAATATGTTTGTTTGTTTTAAAACAATGTTTATTGTGCAAACAGAAAAACTCATGAATGTGCCCTGACCTCCTGTGTGAGTCAGTTTTAACAGAACCGTGACCACATCCTTGAATGAGTTTGAACATAGTAATGCGTCAGTTGCACTTGGCCTTTCTGTTTATCAAAACTATCTACATTCTACACGATGTTAATCACAGGGAAATAAAAGCTTTATTAGGCGTTTCAGCCTCCCAGGATTGTGGGATTTATTAAATTAATGCCCCCAAGTCATCTGACAGCCCGGGCCTCCCTCCTGTAACTGCATCTGAAGACCTGTTGCCCCAATGCCTGGGGCTTAATGTGCATCCCATCAGGTGGCTCAAGGTCAGGCTAGTGCTCTTCCAGGGTGTCAGATGTACTTGGCCTTCTGTTGATGTGAAAAGTAAACCAAGTTAGGCCATAATCATTAATAACCGGAACATAGAAGCAGCGCAGGGTAACCTAGTGCTAGGACCTCGCCCTCCCCCCTTTTTTAAGGAAAAATGGATAATTATATGCATTTTTAAAAGTCTGGAAAGATGCACAATATTTAAATCATTTGAATTAAGGGGATTTGGGGGGCTTATTTGTTACCATCAGACATCCGTGTTTTGCTTGTATAACTATATCAGAGCGTATTAAGGAAGAAGAAGCATGCTGAGGTACCTATGACTTAACCTCTTTGTCTTCTGTTCTATTGCAGAAATTGAAGCCAAAGAAGCTTGTGATTGGCTACGGGCAACAGGTTTCCCCCAGTATGCACAGCTTTATGAAGGTGAGCTGGGAACACCATTTGTAAAAAATGTTAGCATAGCCCTCGCCAGTTTGGCTCAGTGGATAGAGCATCAGCCTACAGACGGAAGGGTCCCAGGTTCAATTCTGGTCAAGGGCACATGCCTGGGTGGCGGTCTCAGTCCCCAGTAGGGGGCGTGCAGGAGGCAGTCAATCAGTGATTCTCTTTCATCATTGATGTTTCTATCTTTCTCTCCCACTCCCTTCTCTAAAATCAATAAAAATATATTTTTAAAAAATGTTAACATAATCATATCCTTGGTTCATAATTATTATTATCTATTATTTACTTTCAGACAGTCTCTTATATACTTAGCTATTTCCTTCATTTAAAAAAACAATGTCGCAAGCACCTAAGCCCCTCCCCCGCCCCACTCAAAGCAAAAGCTAGGATCTTGATAATCACACAACCATATGCTCTCCCTCTGCCACGCCCCTACCCAAAGTCACCGTCTTCCTGAACCTGTTTATCTTTTTTTTTTTTTTTTGCTTAAACTTGTTTTTCTCTTCCAAAAGGGTCTTATGCTCTAAGTAAACTTCCGAAATGACTATCCTCACTTCT